AAACTAAGCCTGATAAACCCATCCCAAGCCTGTTCCTCACAGGCTTCTGCCAGGAACAAAGAGGGGGCAGGGACACCACCTGGCACCTGCACATGAGGCAGCGCCTGTGGGTCATGCCTGGAACTGTTGAGACACGATCGATTTTTTCCTCCCTTTTGCCTCCCCCTGCTCAAACCCACCTTTGCAGGGTGGGCTGTGCCACGTCCAGCAGCGAGGGGCTGGGAAGGGGAGCGAGGAACTCCCCATTGGGAGGAGCAAGATACAGGCAAGGGAAAACGAGGGGACGGAGGACTTGGCCTCAAGGAGGGCGCAGCGACAGGCAGGTGGGGTGGGGGTGCAGCCCGGCACGGTGAGGCAGCTTCCACAAAAGCTGAAAGCAAACCGCCAGCCAGAGCTTTGTGAGGAGGATCAGAGCACCCCAAATCTACCTTCCTTTTGCTGGAGCTGCCCCAGGCAGGGTAAAGCAGCCCTCCAGCACAGCAGGGGCACCACAAGGCCAGCTAAGCCCTGCCAGGTTCTCTCTGGCACTTCCCTGCCCTCAGAAGGACCTTTCTGGGCACAGTGACGGGCGCTGCCTGGGCCACGCAGCAGGAACCACCCCGGCAGGCCCACGGCACTCCCTTGGTGCAGGCAGAGGACAGGGACCGAGAGCTCGTGGACCTTTATTGAGGGTGATCCTTCTGCTTCAGTCTGGGGGGAGCTGCCAGGGCACCGCACCTCAGGGCAGCAGCTGCTGCCAGGAGAGGAAACCCCAGGGAGGAAGGACAAGGGTGCCACCATGCCTGCCCACTTGGCCCCAGAGCCTCGTCCGGGAGCAGAAACTAAGCCAGTGGCTCACAGCTAGGATGGGAACCGCACCTCAAGTACTTCCTTGTGACCCTGAGCATCAACTCATCACCCCCTCAGCTGGACGACCATAGGAGGGGACACAGAGGGCAGCAGGGGCACTGTCCCTGCATCCTCTGCGAGCCCAGCCTCACAGGGTCCCTCCTCAAACAGGTAAGAGCCCACTGGCACCAGGATTAGCCCTTCCAGCAGGCAAACTCCCCCCTTTCCAAGCTCAAAGTCTCATTTCTTGCCCCTCAAAGTGGAATCCAGTTAAAAGAAACCCACAAACCCTATGTAAACGTTCAAAAAACCGCAGAAGGAACAAACTACTGGACCCAGCAAGAGCAGAGGGGAATGATTACTCAGAGGCTGAGCAGTGGGGAGGGGTCAGGGCTCCACTCGCACTCTGGCAGCGCTGGACCCCAACAGCTCCTCCAGCCAGCACAGTCCCTCACAGCCAGAGCTCTGGTCCCTCTCTCAGTGAGCCCCCGAGGTCAGTTTTGCTTCACTTTGGTCAGTAAGTTGTAAACTAGAGGCAGCTCTGTCTCTGCAGGAAGGAACGTGGGAGAGCGGAGCTGGTTCAGCAAGGAGGTGTCTGCCCAGCGCTGCTGGCAAAGTCTTTTCCTGGCTATGATGCAACAGGGTGGGCACCTTCTCATCGCTCTCAGCTGGGCCTTCAGTCTGATTTCTTGGCAGGCTTCTTGCTCTTCCACATCACAACCATTATGAAAACACCTACCACGAAGGAGAACAGATTCAGCCAGAAAACTTCTAATTACAGGCAATTTTAAAACATATTGTTGTGAGAAACAGAACCTCAGCAGAGACAGTAAAAAAGAATCCCACTGTTCAGAGGCTCAAACAGCCAAAGCTGCACACAAAAACACGCCCTGGGAGCCCGTGCCAGGCTAAGCTGCAGCAGAAGCCACAGAGAGTGTGTCATGAGTGTCACATGATAGCCAACCCCCTAGCAACCCTCTTCTCTCTCCCTAATTTAGAAGCTTCTAATTAGAACAGAAATAACACTCACCTATAAATAGCAGCAGCAGCAGCCCAGCCACCACAGGGATGATAACGGCGTACTCCCTCGGCAAGAAATACCGGTGGATCCCATGGTCACTGTCGATGAAGGGCTGCAGGGGACAGAGAGAGGCGTTGGCAGGTGGGCACAGCACCAAGGCAAGTCCCTGACACCTGCAGCCTCGAGGTTTCAAAAGCAGGACAGAAATATCAGGTGTGAATAAACTGCTAAAAAAAGGGTGCTCAGACCTGCTGGTGGCTCAGCCTGCAGCTGCAGGGACGTGACAGGGGGTGGGCAGCGTTTGGCAGACAAGGGGAAGCTGCAGAAGGTCAACACAGCGGTCCCACAGCTCTGGGGTCTCAGGGTGGGCACAGCTGCTGAACACTGTAAATCCCCAGACTCTTCGCCCTTTGGAAGGGAGCAGCTGATACCAGTTCTGCTTCACGACGATCCCACCAGGTTCCCTCTGTGGAGCCCAGGGGAAGGCTGCAGACACTAGAGAGCAGTGTGAGGATTCTTACACAGCCACCAACACAGCGGGTCGCTCCAGGGACTACAGATGTGAACAAACACATACTGGACAACCAAGCAGGCAGACCCAGCTGGGGAATCTGAAACTCTCCGAGGTTAGAGTGGAGGCCACCCAGAGCTCAGGCATCAGCCCAGAGATGAATCAGGCCTGTTGGATCTGGGAAGCTCATGAGGAGATGTTTCTTTCCAGGAGGAAAACCACTAATGACCCTGCCTGATGTGTCCCCAGAAGAGGCGAAACTGAGGCTCACAATCACTCTTCCAGACCTTTGCTTTCCCTAAACTTCTCCTGCCAAGCTCCAGATCTAGGAACAGTCACCTCTTTTTACTTTTCCCTCTCTGATCTCCTGTCAGGACCAGGAATCTGGGAGGGCTGCTAAAGTAACCACCAACGACAACACCTCCAGAAGGACCAAGCTTTGGTTCTTGCCGAGAGCCTCGGATCTCACACCGCTGGGGCCAGCCTGTCGGAGCGCAGGCGGGCAGGCAGCACGACCGGAGCTTGGTCTCGCCCCGGCAAGGGCCCAGAAGGGGCAAGGGCTGCGTCAGCAAACTGAGAAGTTCTGCCCCGAGGTTTTTAAGCAGGAAGCTGCAAGGCAGAGCCCGTCAGGCAGGCGGACACATCAGCGCCTCAACAAAGCGCGGGCAAACACCTGCGGTGAAGTGCCCGTAACGGCCGGAGGAACCCGTACCAGTGCGATGATCCAGAGCGTGTAGTAAACGAAGAGGACGAGGCTGAAGGCGACCAAACCGAATCCGACCACCTGGTCCGTCGCTGTGGCCTGGCAAAGGGACAGAGTCAGGGGGGGCCCGCGTGGGAAGGGGTCCCGAGCGCCGCTGTTCCCCG